ACCATCTCAAAGGCATTGAATTGTTGCTCGGCGTGCATAGGCCATGTCGCCATCGGCACTCCATGCCATACGCTTTCTATAATCGAGTTCCAACCACAATGTGACATGAATCCTCCTATAGAGGGGTGTGCCAATAGCTCTATCTGTGACGTCCATCCGATCACTCTCCCAGTATCTGCTGTTCTATCGAGAAATCCCTCCGGTAGGACGTCTTTGATGTCGGTGTAGTTTTTCGGCGGCGCTTTGAACTTACCCTTTGGTGGAGGCTGCCTAAGGGACCATATGAAGCCAACCGCACTTTCCTCCAATGCATTTGCTATCTCCACCACCTGATTTTCATCAAAGCTCACCATGGTCCCAAAACACACGAGAACCACTGATGATGGAGGTTTACCATCAAGCCATTGTAATATTTCTGCATAATTTTCAGCCTCACTTGATCCAGCAACCCCTGTGTTTTTCAAATGCAAAATGGGTCCAACGAAGTATAGCGGTGGGAAGACTCTGCCATTACTCGATATGGACTCCATGGCATGAAATTCCATCTCCATAAATGTATTGATAAGAATCCCATTGATTTCTGATCTAAATCTCTTAATGTGGTTATGAAACCAAACGGCCTTGTCCTTGTTGGAGAAGAGACTAGGAATGAGTTTACTGGGAATGGGATTGACAAAATTTGGCAAAGTAATGAACTCAGTATCCGAGTTCAGCAACTGTTCCACCACCTCATTGCTATCATTCTGGTCGTAAAGCTCTCGAAGATGAACACTAAAAGCCAGAAAGCTAGCGCTGCAGGTATAAAACACATAACAAGGAACCCCAAATTCATTAGCCACATCGATCATGGTTGTACAGAACATGTCAATGACAAACCCAGCTAGCTGAGGCGAGTCAAGACTTGTCTCAGAGCCAACCAAGTTGGCGACAGCCTCTCTGACATAAGCTTTGTAGCTTTCAACCAGCACAATGAAGTCCTTTTTACTTTCTTCTGGAAGGGACGGTTCAGGAAGGACGATGAATTGTATAGATTTGCCTGTGAAAGACATAGAAAGTGAGTCGATACATTCAGCAACTTTGAGATCGTAGGGCAGCTTCATGGCGAGCACTGTGACAGAGAGACTAGGATCTCGAGTGACAAGAACATTGGCCATTTCTACTGTGGAAGAAAGGTGACCCATTCCTGGGGCAGGTATGAAAACCATCTCAAACTTCTTCATTGGAGCTGAATTTTCAGATCTACAGAGAATTGTTGAGTGGTGGGAGATGGGAAGAAGAATCAAAGTTTGGTGTTTGTAAAAGGGAAGATCGGGGATTGGCCAAAGTTGAGTGGCTTGAACCGACCTTAGTTTTATGAATGTGATAAGATAAGATACGTGGCTACTGGTAATTCATAAACTGAGGTATCTGCTTCAATTGGGAGGAAAGTAGGATGAATTCAATGGAGGGTGGATCTTCCTTCATCTCATTAGGCCATTATTAGTTTATTATTTGATTTGGCTTTTATTGTTATGAACTATTTGATTTTGTTTTTGTATTATCGCCCGAAAAACCATTTACTAGCTAGCCGAACTAGAGGGAATCTATTAGGAGATATTGAAAAACGGTGTAGGTTGATATAGCAATTTTGTTTCTAATGGGTTGAGCGCTTCAAAGCAACCTGTTATCTATAATCAAAAACAAGTGTTAACATTTGTTTTAGATTTTTGACTATAATAAGGATGGTGGCAGCTTTGTTTTTATTTTGTTTACCAAACAGTTTAGCAGCAGGGTTAGAAATATCCATGAGTGAGAAGCCCTTCTCATCCCCATCCCCATTCCCATCTCCCACTTTAATCTGTAATCATTGATTTTTTTCAATATTATAATATAGTATTATCCACTATATATATATATATAGTGGAACAGGACCGGATGGAGGTGAAGAAAATAATCTTGTCTGTTTGACTAACAAAGAGAAATCTCCATTAGCATCTTCCTTCCGGTGAGCTGGCTAAAACGTCCTCTATAAACTTGCCCATTGAAATATGAGAAGATCCACCTTCCATCACACTTCTCCTACTCCCTTCACTCACGCCTTTCACTTTCTTCCTCACCTCACTATCCTCCTCCATTAACTTCCTAATCCCTTTCTCAATCTCCTCCCCACTCACTACTCTCGGCTCGTCACTTGCACCCTCCTTCCGATACTCCACCGTGATCTCCACCGCCAATCCCAACTCCACCACCATCTCATACGCATTGAATTGCTGCTCTGCATACATCGGCCATGTCGCCATCGGCACGCCATGCCACAAACTCTCCAACGTCGAGTTCCACCCACAATGCGACACGAACCCACCTGTCGCTGGATGCCCTAATATCTCCACTTGCGGCGCCCACCCGATCACCCTCCCAACCTCCGCCGTTCGATCCAGAAATCCCTCCGGTAAGATGTCTTTGAAGTCCGTATAATCAGTTGGGTCCTGAAACACTTCCTTTGGTGGCGGCTTCCGGAGCGTCCACACGAATCGAACCCCACTTCGCTCAAGCCCATCGGCGATCTCCTCCACCTGACCCTTCTCGAAGCTCCCCCTGCTTCCAAAGCATAAGAACACCACCGATGATGTTGGCTGCTCATCCATCCACTTCAGCACACCGGCACGATCCGTTCCCTCGATTTTGTTGTTGTTCAAGTGTAAAATTGGGCCAATGGAATACAACGGCGGGAGATTGAAGGAGGAATCACTTGATAAAGAACATATCACATGGGATTCCAATTCCTCAAATGTATTGATGAGAATCCCTTTCATTTCAGTTCTTAATCTCTTGGTTTCTTCATAAACCCAAACCGCCCCTTTTTCCATAAAGAAGATTCCTGGAATGACTTTGCTTGGAATTGGGTGGATTAAACTGGATACTCTCAAATCAAAATCTGGGTCCTTGAATTGTGGATTCACTGCTTCATTACTGTTCTTTTGACGGTAAATTTCTTCAAGATGAAGGCTAAAAGCAAGATAAGCAGCACTAGAAGTGTAATACACATAAGAAGGAATCCCAAGTTCTTTAGCCACATCCACCATGGTTGTAGTGAACATGTCCAAGACGAATCCAGCAAGGGGGTTGGTAAGTAGTGAGCTAACAGCTTCTTTGACATGGGGTTTGTAGCTGTCGAGGAGTACTTTCAGCAATAGATCTTTGCTATCTTTTGGGACGGGTAATTCAGGAAGACCAATGAGGCGTAGGGATGGGTTGTTGGAAAGAGATTCAGAAAGGGATTGGATATATTCAGAAGCTTTGGAATCAAAGGGCAACTTCATGCCAAGCATTGTGATAGAGAGACGAGGATCTCGAGTAACAAGAAGGGTGGCCATCTCCACTGTGGAAACGAGGTGACCCATCCCCGGCATGGGTATGAAAACCAGCTCAAACTTGTTCATTTCTTGAAGAGTCTTGCAGGGAGATGTAGGTGAAGTTTGGCTTGTTATATAACAGTTGGTGCTGGGAAAAGAAGAAGAAGAAGAAGAAGAGGAGGAGGAGGTGATGTCATGCCTTTGCTGTAAGATAACTGGAAAACCAAGCGGACAAATGAAGATAGAAAATGAATGGTTTGAATTAAATATGAAATGATAAGATCAATGAAGAAGATGCAGAGTCTGCACGTGTGTGTACTGTCGACTATGTTTCTTTTTTTCCATTGGTTTCTTGGAAACTTCTATAAATAAACTATCCATCAGTTTGTATGGTTTAGCTATAAAATTATATGGTAACTTTTAAAAGAACAAAAAATTTTGAAAAAAAGTTTAGCAGTTTTCAAACCACAAGATCATTTGTACCATGGTGATTACTCTCAACGATATATGCGCATATGTTTATAATGTAGCAAATAAAGAGAGGGTTTTTAAGGGCTCCTCTAACACAAACTCAAGTGAGATCCTAAGAATACTTTCAGATGGAGCAATTTATCATCATGATAGGTGTCAAGTAAAAATGTAGTGATGTATGTAACTGAGGCATTCTAGCAAAGTCATGAGAGCTTACCTCGTGCAGCATTAGCAATGTTTGTAAGGCTAAATCATCAAGAGCTCAGCCGCTTCTTCTCCTGAACATGGCAAATGTATCATTCATCAGGCTCCAGAAGACCGCCGGCATAGGAGGTGGACTGTGGCTTATAACCAGCATGTTTCATCTCCATCAGTAATTCCTCCAACATGTTGTATATCTGATCGGATTGTGGATGTTTCCTATCCTTTGAAGCAAAATGGTTCATATAACCAGCAATCTCAATCCAACTGCTTCCAGTTTCCTTTTTCAAACCTCTCTCCCTCATTTGTTTTCGAACGATATCGACGTTTTCCCAGTTTCTTTCCTCCGCATATATATTCGAAAGCAAAACGTGGTAACCTGTCTTCCCATTTCTTTTCTCCATTTCAAGCAACTTCATGGCAACAACCTTTCCTAATTCAAATTGTTTATGAATCCTACAAGCAGCAAGAAGAGATCCCCAAATTTCCATTGCATTCCCTTGTTCCCCTAATCCTACGACGAACTCATAGGCTTCGTCCACTCTCCCGACCCTCCCCAGCATGTCTGCTACACAACAGAAGTGTTCAATGGATGGTTGAATGTTATATACAGTTCTCATTGACTCAAAAATTTGAAGGCCTTCGTCGACCAAACCCGAATAACTACAGGCAGACAAGATTGCTACGAAGGTAACTGCATCAGGCCTAATACCAGATTTTTGCATTGTGTGGAACATAGAGAGAGCACGCTCACCCATCCCATGTTGACCATAACCCAATATCATGGTGGAATAAGTGACTATACTTCTCTCACTGGCTTTTCTAAAAACATTTTCAGCATTGGCGATCGACCCTGATTTGGAATACATGTCGATAAGAGCAGTTGCAACAAAAACATTTTGGTCCAAGTCATTACGGATGGAGAATCCATGGAGTTGCTTGCCCCAATCTATGTACCCTGATGGATTACAAGCAGGAAGAATCGAAGCTAGTGTCACAACATTAGGCGTTATCTTTTGGTCGAGCATCTGCCTAAGGACAAGAAAGGCCTGATGGACGAGGCCGTTTTGTGTATAGCCGGACATCATGGCATTCCAAGTAGCTTGATCTCTTTCATGACTATAGTTTTTCTCAAATACATTTTGAGCAGCCTCAATCAAACCAGATTTAGCATACATGTCTATAAGATAGCTATCCATTCCCTCAAATTGGATACCATTCCTAAGTAGATAGCCATGAGTTTGCTTACCAATATTGGGGTTTCTAAGATCTGAAGCTGCTGAAAGCAGAGCGGTAACAACCACAGAATCAATCATCATACCTTGCTTCTGCATCTCATAGAAAAGCATTAATGCTTCATCATTCAATCCATTTTGAACAAAAGCAGAGATCATTGTATTCCATGAAACAACATCCTTTTCAGGCATATAATCGAAAATTTTAAATGATACATCAGTTGAGTTGCACCTGGAGTACATGGCAATGAGGGCATTCATTACACAAACTTGCGACACGGCTACATTCTTGACGACAAATGCGTGCAACTGTTCTGCTAATTCAAACTTCTGCAAGTGTGAAACTGCTGCTATGGCTGAAAGAAGAGTTACTTCATCAAGAGCAGCATCTTCAGACTCCATAGCTTGAAGAAAGAGTTGAATTCCTTCAAAAGGACAATTGTTTTGAACATAGGCACTGATCATTGTATTCCAAACCTCCGTGTTTCTCTCCAAACAACTGTCGAAAACCTTCTTAGAACATTCGAGCCGACCGAGCTCAGCATACATAAAAATTGCAGAGCTCACAACATAAAGGTCGTTAACATATTCACTGCCGAACTTCACAAGCATTCCATGAACAACATTGGCTTTCTTTAAGTCCCTCAAACATGATAAGGCAGGAAACACATTAACGAAACTAACTGGGCTTGGCTTTATGCCAAGTTTCAACATCAGCCTAAATTGTTTCATAGCTTCAGCATACCTCTCTGTTCTAACATACCAAGCAATAAGGGTATTCCAAGCAACGACAGTTCTCTTACGCATTGTATCAAACACCTTGCGTACCAAATCATGCCCCGAATGACCAGGAGCCATTTTACCATCTGGGGTAGTGCTCAAACACATAGAATACATATTCAAAAGGGAATTATGCACAATTCTACTAGGATTCATCAAACATCGAAGAAAATGAGCATGTACGGCCTTACCAACCACGAGATTGCGAGTATCGGCACAGGCCTTGAGAATAGAAGAGTAAGTGTAGGAATCGCACTTAACTTGTGGAGAAGACGATTTCATATTGCTGTAGAAGAGAAGGGCTTCATCGGGGAAGTTGTTGCAGACCAATCCAATGATGATTGTGTTCCAAAGAACGGTGGAAGGGCGAGGAAGAGTGTCGAAGAGTTGGCGGGCAAGATGAAGCTGACCTTCTTGGCATAGTCTGCTGAGGCGGTAACGAATAGTTGGGATTTTGGGGTTGGCTGAATGGTTATGAAGGGGAGAATGAGAAGGTAATGGGGAGAGAGAAAGAAGGGTTGCAGAGGACGCCATGGATGAGCTTCAGAGCTTCTACAATGGCATTCCACCACAGTGAACAGTGGATAGAGAGATCTACAGAATGTCTGAACAATATTTTGTTTATCCGATAGTTTTCTTTTGTGGGATCTTTGCCGAATTTTATATTTCCATCCCAATCAGATATTTAGTGATCTCTTCATTTTGACATCAATTTCTACGTCTTTGAAAGTTTAGGTTGAAAGTTTAGGTAGAGATTATGAGTAACAACTTTTGGAAAAGCTCAAAAGCCCAAAACAAAACCTTGAAAGCGAACAATATCATAAGTTATAATTTCTAAATTAGAGTAATGCCTAAACTTAACCATATCAATATAATCCTCAAATGTCGAACAAATGATTTCATGGAGCCTCCTTGAAGGCATAGTAAAAAATGACTAAGACTCCAAATGAAAAAGAGTTAAACCTCGATTAAGGGGAGGTGTACTTTGTTCGAGAGGAGGTATTGGATGAAAGTCCCACATCGACTAGAATACTATCTACATTGAACGAGCCCTTCGAGGAAGAACAAACAAGGCACGTAGATTGGAAATGCTACACGGACGACCGGCTCTTGAACAAAAAGACCTAACGAAGTAATCCCTTATCTCGGATTGGAAATGCTAACGGGACAGGAATCGAAGTGGGGGACCTATCTACCGCCTGTGTATATCTCCTGTAAAGTATTCTCCCACAGATATAGACTACATAGCCTACAATCCACATCAGGTGGCTTGAAAATTCCGACTTAAACTTTCGCGAGAGCACTAGTAGGCTCAAATCAAATGGGTGGGTTCTCCCCTATTTTTGAGATGCTAAACTTGGGTGGAAACCGAGATGATCCGAAAGCCAAAAAAAATTATTTAAATCAATTCAAAATCTTGTGTCATAGTTCAAATCACTTCAAAACACTTTTTTAAAACTTTCTGCAACAAAAAGAGAGGGACATTGATATGAACCAAAAGACATCAATCATACAATATACTTCAATGAAGATGTGAAGAAAAGGTTGTCAAAATTATCAAAAGATGTTTCAATTCATGCCACATTGAAGAAGAATGAAGTTTGATTGTTATAAATTTTGGGTGGGTTACAATTTAGAGTTATTGTATTTCATTTATGTATTTTAAGACTTATTTACTATAGGTTACAATTACATAATGGTTAATTATGGCCATTAGGTATGTGTAAGGGACTTGAAAAATATAGTAAAAAGAACATTTGTGCTCTTCTTTAGCCAATGACTAAGTTTCTTTGCAATTCTATGTAGTTTAGGTTGCATGTAGAATCATTCAAGCTCGACATGATCAATCTTGCTTGTGGAGTGATTCGAATCTCATGGAAGTGTTCTTGCCTTGAGATATTTGATCAACAAGAATCATTCAAGCTAGACATGATCGATCTTGCTTGTGAAGTGATTCGAATCTCAAACAATGTTCTTGCCTTGAGATATTCGATCAACAAGGTAATCTGAATCTTACTCCCCTTGTAGTGGTTCCTTTTCTTATCAGACATTAACAACCGCAGCGACAAGCAAACAAGAGGAAAGCAAGAGAGAGATGTTGGGAGAATGGGTATCAATATAGGGTGAGGGTGGGGTTTGTGTTAAAAGACCACGAAACTCGTGTATGTGGTGCACGAGTACTAGTAGAAACTCGTGTTCGTGTAGCACCCAACTAGAAGCTTATACAATCCAGCATCATACCACATCAAGTTTAAATTGTCAATATGATGCATTTGTAAACTATTGGGCAGTAATGAACTGAACTGATACTCAATCCCAACTCAAAAGGATCAAAATCTTGAGCAATTGATATGGTCACAAAAATACAGACCAATTCACATCACATAGAGAATTTTTGTTCTAAGTTCCTAATTTGGTATTAATACGTAAAAGAATATTGGGTTGGATTTTGGCATCACAACAAAGAATGGAATCAAATAACACAAAGAATCACAAAGACCATTTTTGCATTTTTCTTTTCCCCTTGGAGTAAGAGCAACAACATCCAAGCATCATATAGCAGAAAGACTTGCCCATTTTCCAAGTTCATAAGGATCTGCATAGTAATACAGCTTAATTCTATTGGACAAAGACAACCCTGCTGCAAAAACCCTGAATCCAGAATCGTCTTGCTCTGCTGGGTCATCAGAAAACGCTGCAACGTCTCCGAGAAGTTTGAATATAATTTTCCTCGTTTGGACAAGTCTAGGAAGATCGAAGTAAAATCCTGTTCCAGCCTTCGCTTCCGGTAGTCGGTACTCAGCTATAGTTACTACAGTATTAGGCTCCTGTAAGAGTAGTAATGGTAACCATTTTCAATGAAATGAAACCTCCATGATTCAATCATACAGAAATGACTTTTGAAACATCATCAATGGAATGCTACAGTAAATTCCCAGGGAAAAAAAAAGACATAAATTATGCACTCCAGCAAATATACTCGTCGTCCTGATGACGAAAATTTTGTTCATGACGGAATAGATAGAAGGCAGAAACTATGCTTGAGAATGAGAAAAATGGAATCCTTCTATGCATAATTGTTGTCCATGAAAAACAGTTAATCGATTGTATTCTGGCTGCATATGTTTCTATGTTAAAGCTGTAAACTAAACAAAGACTATTAATTACCTGAACAACGGAAACCTGTAGATGCAATACAGCAGGATAGATGTGCCTATCTTCTAAAAACGTAGCTGATGCATCCCAGATTTGTGCATCTGAAGAAGGTGAATGGGTAACTCGAGGTTTTATCGCACCAAAAGCCTCCAGACGGAATCCAGCAATCATTGGTGACGCTAGAGATAGATACTGTTCCAAGACAATATCGTTCTCCACAGCCGTTTCGGCTTCAATTGGAACCTAGAGAAAACAAAAGGGCAGTTAACAGCAAATTAGTATTATAGGAAGTTTGACAGACGCTACAGATTTAAGACATTATAGATCACAGCAGGATTTCTACCTTGAATCTCCTTACTTGAGGGGCTCTCTCCAACCAGGTCCTGTTAGATATATGATCAGAGCCTGATGATGAATCAAGACCCGTCTCTTTTTTCACTGGGATTCCAACTACAATAATTCGTCTAGCATGAAGACAAGGAATAGCTTTACTTGATCCTCCGAACGAGGCACGTAGATTAACTTGCGGATTAACTGGTGCAAAAGGATTTTCATCTAGAGACAAGAGGTTAAAATCTGTCTCATAATTAAAAGAACTGGAACCAGGGCGTTGAAGGCGTAGTGTCATCCAAATGATGCGGCATCTAACAGGATTTTTAAAGGTAAACCGGACATGCCTAGGTGCTCTATCGTCGCTGTATTCTTTTTCTGGCCCAGAAAAATCAAATGAAGATGGATTCAAGGATTGGACATCCCACTTCCCCATATACGACCTTTCTTCCCTGTGAATAAAATTACTCGCCCAGATTTGTACCTGCAATGAGAGAAGAGTGCAAGTCTCAAATTTGACAAGAATTCAATCCCCACCAAGATTCCAAAGCACTATAATAATATATTCCAAATTCATGGTTCAAATTTTTCCCCCATAAAAATGTGCCATCTCGTTATTTTCAAATCAACGAAACGTGTAATGTGTAAAGCAAAACAGTCTAACTGACGAAATTATTTGTACTTGGATTTTGCATTTCTTTTAACATTTCATGTTGAGGAGACACCGCCATGGTGGTAACAAAAAATTGATATATAGATAATTATATTTTGGGGCCATCAGTTGCATAGTACGTACAACAAGAGAGTGCGTACATGCACAGTTTCATATTAAAGAAGCATACTGGTACTATAAGGTTGAAACAGAAACATGACGTCAAAATGCAACATTACATAATAGCACAAACTGACTCTAGTAAAACAAATAGACACGTCAAAAAGATATAGCCAACACGTTGTGAAGGTTATATATCCTTTGCATTATTCTCATAAAAAAGGGGGTCTTTCAAGAGAAGTTGTTCACTTGACAAAGAACCCTACACCTCGTGGTAAAATCTCTAATGTTAACTCCAAGGTAAGCTTGAATAGTGCGAAATCAGTCATTTCCTAAATGGGTTTCAGTAAGGAGGCTGATGCTCTTGTAGATTATTTTTCTATTAACTTTTGACTTACTATTTCAAGATTGTGACAAGAAGAATCCTATTTCTTCATCCCTATGGGCCAAATTTCATTATAGAAGTCTGTGGTCTTGAGTTTAGTGAAATTTCTCGTGTGGTTTAAGAAGGAAGTTGTATCATGCTCTAGCTTTACAAAGTTTGTTCCACCCTCTCTAAAGTAATTGGATTAACTTGCATGACGAGAATTTATACTTCTTTGCTGGTGATGGTTCTTCCAAAGCTTCTTTTTATGGAAGAGTTGTTCTTGCAAAGCGGGAGTGTAACACTTTATGCCCAAGATTTAGATCAAGATTTGAAATCCATATTCGACACTTGATAGCCCCAATATTCCCTTGTAGCAAGCCCACATTATCTACTTATCGGTTTTAAGAGTGAAGACTATCCCCACAACACAGGTTATTTCAGCATGCTTTGTCCCCATTTACATGTTTTGTAGGAAAATTCTCAGGAGGCCATCCAACACCCAACATAGAATTGTTCAATGCTCATCACGTTTAATTTTAGAGTTCTTATGATTGAGCCACGGAAATGTTAACTTGAAGCAATCCTGTGTTGGATAACTTCTAGAAAATTTTCTTAGGAAACATGTGAGTAGAACAACACATGTTGAAAGGACTCGTGTTGGTCTATGAGGATAGCTTTCACTCTTAGAAGTGATAAATAGGTAATGTGGTCATGTTGTAGGGGATGTAGGGGAATGCCAAGGCATCAAGTGTCAAATCCAGATTCCAAATCCTAATTCGAATCCTGAACATGGTGCGTTACATGGAGAGTTTTTCGAGGAGTCATGAGCAAATTTGGCTTGAAGTTCTGAATTTGATGAAATCAATTTTTTGGTATTGAGAAGTCTTTTGATTTTGTTGCATTAGGATTCCCTCATGGACGGTATTAAAAGGCTTTTTATTTGTTGGCAATTGGTTCTTGGTTTTCTTCGGAAGATTTGAAGTAGCTATCAGTTATCAGCATTTGGTGGAAGCCTTATTCATAGTTTAATCAGTCTTTCGCAAGCTCTCTGAGTCTTTCAGTCAAAGATATTGAAAAAGTTCATGGTTCTTGAAATGTTAATTTATTTTCTTGGCTAATCTCTATAAGGTTGTATTTGCTATTAGTATCTTTTTTCTTTTTCACTATTTGGGAGTTTGTATCTCTCGAGCTTTCATTCATTTGTATTATATCATTGAGGAGTTGTTTTAAAAAAACATTGGGAAGGTTATATGTCATATACTGTTGGTTAAAACGATTCCTTGTCCTTGAGAACCGTCCAAAATGATCCCGCATTGACATATTTAACTAGATCCTTGCAAGGTACACTGCTGGAATACTTTCAATCTCATGTAAATGGCTATAGGTTCTAATTATAAACCTATTGGCAACTAACACTAACAAAAAAGCATATTAAGTACGCAAATGTCAGAACTTACAATTGGAGTGTCTCCTGCAGAGTACCCACAAGGGCTCACAAGCAAGATGACCCCACTAACATCAGAAACGGAACCAAGAGCAATAACAAATTCAGCCGAAGTAGCATTTGGAGGAGCTTTCCAATATGAACCTACTGAACCAGAATCTAAGGGAGCAAGCAATGACAAGACTGGTGCCGAATCCGCTGCTGTTTCCACCTACAATTACACAAAACCTTGCAACTTATTATGAATCACAAAGACAACAAAATGGAAGATTTTTGCAAGTTAGATGGCACAATTATTTGAATAATATCAGATAATTTTCAAGAGATCAAAACTGCGAGTATCTTGAACTGACTTTTCTATAACAGAGTATTTTTTTAAAGACAAAATCACATTCCATTTCACGTCTTCCAGGCTATAACAGCAGGCAGTATACTAACCTTGTAATGAACGCAAGGCTAGGGCAATCATCTTTTAATGGAATGATATCAATGGCAATTGAATTCCGAAAATTGTAAGAAATTACTGCTTCAAAGCTAATATGTTCGATGGAAATAACTTCCAAGCTAACCACAAAGCTACAAAGTACAAATATTGCATGTCTAGCAAAAAGATCTATGAATGATTTGTCATCAACCAAGACATCCTCCTAAAATTTGTTTCCTTTTCATTGCCACGTAAAAGAGCAAATATCATGTCCACCAAGCTTTTGTAAGAGGTCATCGCTTTGCAATAGCTTCTAACATTATGAGACCAAGCCTCTTTTATTATAGGTCTTTTCCCTCGATAGAGCTATCCATAATGTGAACTTTTTGAAAATGCAATGGTGACAAATAAAGATTTCAACCATATATATTGGTAATTCAAAGTTGCCAAACACCACTCATTCAAGCAGTTCTCCACCCAAAACTAGAGTTTTTATTCTACTACTCCTAAATGTAAAGTCATTACTTTTTTCCAAAATAAAATCTCATACACTATCGTGAATGTTTTAGTTTCCTTTTCTTTTTTAATTAGGTTTGAAAAGTAGAATATAAAATATAATCTCATAATTACATTCGTAAATGAGAAAGTCACATGTAATGCAGATGATAGAAAAAAGCTTGTGTGTGTAAGACTCAAAATATTACCGAGTTCAAAATGCTGGCAAATGGAAATTCAGCAACAGACTCTTCTCCATTAAGCAATTTTCTTAGGACCTTTTGTACTCCTTGGCCAGCATCAGGCAGATTCTTTCCAGACATCCAATCCCTTACTGATGATCCAATCACCTGGTTCAGAGCTCCATATGCAGCATCGTCTGCACGGGCCTTTCTTCGTGCACTAATTAATCCCCTTACATGGTCCAAGATCAATGCATCAAGCAGAACGTTGGGACAGCATTTTTTACAGACAACACCATCCAAACCATTCAAGACATCAATTCGGCACCCATGACCTGATCCTCCCTGGCTTGAATAACCACTGTTTGAGACTTCCCTTGAGCTGTAGCTTGTTAGAAGTTGAGCCCCTCTCCCAGCACAGCATACTTTACAAACCTTTCTCTGGCATTGTGAGCATAACAAGACAGGCTGGGGAGTTCCCACTGAGGATGCTTTAGAGGGAAATTGAACTGGTGTTTTAATTTCAGCACGCACCTCACAGGTTCCACCAGAACAGATCTCTCCAAGTTCTGTGATGTTCCAGAAATCCACAAGATTGTCGATTTTATCAAGACCGATAGCAGCAGTAATTTTGTCTTCCAGATAAGTGTGCCCAACTAATGCAAGATTGTTTGCCAATCTGCATAACCTTCCAATATAAATTTCATCAAGCAATAGATTTGGATTTATAGTAGCAGGATCAGTTCCCATTGATAATAATGCTCTATCCCTTTCAGCAGCTGAAAGATGTAGCCGGAGGCGCTCAATTTCAAGTTTCATGGCTTCTTGGAAGCTGAGCTTCTTTTCCTGTATTATTCGCATAAATATTATCTGTCTAAATATGTTACATTAGGATTAGAATAAAAATACAGGATGATTAAATCGTCTTCGTTCTTCTATTAGAAAAGATTGTCTTAAATCTATTGTTTGCACACACACCGCTCAAATAATGTCATGCCCAAGCATTCCCCATCTGCTGGATGGTGTTCATAAGATGACCTTGAAACTAAGTGGAATCCCAGAACTTGTACTAGACACTTCAAAGCAAGCCACCGTCTCTTCCTAACTTAAAAGCTATTACCACTAGCTATCATAGCAATTCCTAGTTCTTTCTGATTTAAAAACCACCAATTCAATAATCAACGTGCAGAAAGGGATTTAGTTGGATCTGGAGCTAAAGGAAAGTTATCATAACTGAAGTGCTGACTCCCAATACAAGGTGAAGAAATGGCTTTAAAAAAAGCTCAAGGTGAAGAAATGGCTTTAAAAAAAGCTCAAGGTGAAGAAATGGCTTTAAAAAAGGCTCCTGCCGGCTGATTCCTTACTGAAAACCTCGTCCTAATTTCCTTTCCCTTATCTGTTACCTCTTGTAACCAACCCAAAATCCACTCCGAGCAAATAGACTTTTTTAGAAAGCTATCCTGGATTGTTCTTTTCAGCCCTCATAGAGCATGTATTATGCATTGCGGGAGGTCATTATCCTATATTTGTTCTTCTTGTTATTTCTTTTCATTTTTTGCTCAACTTGGTCAGATGAGCTAAGCATCTTATATTATCTAGTTCTTTGCTTCCTATCATCTACTTTCAGGTTAGCCAGTTTTGAAGTTAGGCTATTGTCACTTAATTTGTAGGTTAGCCCATGATCTGTAAGTAGGATGAGCCTGCCAACTCTTGATGCAACTCAAAAATTGAAATCTAATTGCACTGCTCTCATTTAGAATGGTATCATAACCAAACGAAACATAAGAAATCGAAACATACCATGCGAGGTCCTACAAGGGATATGAGACAGTTTATGTACAGTTGGGAACAACTATCAGCAACCTTTGGATCTTCTGCTGGAGAAACTTTGATGTCGGTTTCAGCACCATGAAATCCAACATGCTGGTCCAAAAAATCAAGTAAGTCGTCCCCCTGATGTACAGCAGTTCCGCTAACTGGTTGAGAAATTGTATCTGTAAATGTGACTTCTCCAGACAAAAGGTCAATTAATTGGTCTGCAGAAGCACTCGTTTTAACTGGTTCTGAAAGGTCTTCATTTAATGAAGGGGCCAAAAATGGGTTGGTTCCTGAACCGGAAGAAAAATGATTGATTTCCTTATGAATCGTTTTAGTGAGGTGAGCTAATCTTGCACCTGGTCCTTCATCATAAAACACTCCCCTCCAAGGAAGAGAAACTCCAAGGATCTCTATCTACAATATATGTCAACAAAGTAAAATATATTATAAAGTAGAAGTAAGAGCAAATCCTAACGTAATATGATATATGACAAAGAAATAAGGAAAAAAAAATGATGAGAGAGAGAGAGAATCACTAAAGATGTAAATTAGCGGGCTATAGCAATTAAAATAATAATAATAAAGAAGGTCAACCAGTTAGCGGACAAGATGACCACTAGAAATTGAGTGTGTAACTCAACCTGTTATCATTTCTCACCTCACCAAGTGTCATTGAACTTCTCCCAGAATCAGCAGGATAAAATGTAACAGCAACAACACGAGTAAGGAAGTCTAGTTCACCCTCTGGTTCTTCAAAATCATATAATAATGGAAATGTTGATGCGTCTTGGGAATGGAGGCGTGCACCAGCCCCTGTGATAGCCATATCCTCGGCACTTATTGGCCCAGGTAAGGTTATTAGAAGGTTTGTCCCATTTTCACACTGAGGAATGGAAGCACCCTGCCAAGAAACAACAAAACTATTTAGGAACAACAAAAACCACACACTCATATTAACCATTTGCATACATACTAATGATCCATGCATGTAGGAACACATGGATGGGAGAACATACAGCTTCATGTATGTTTCCTTTTGTTTGAAATAGGGTAGTTCTATTTCTGGATACAAGTATAGAGGGGTGTAGGTAACTTGTTATGAATTTAAATTGACTCATTTTGAAAAAAAATATATAAAAGCTAGAACTAGAAGCACTATGCCGAGGATATATTGCAACATTGTTCAACAATCGGCTGACCATGTGAAAGGTCCTTTTAGTGTTTCATGTAACTGCATCAACAAGTAATAAGTAACAGAGGAAAACACCCAAATGATCCAATATGCAACAGAACAACTGTTGAGGATTTGTAACTGAGTGAAATCAATAGTAGATTTTTTTTTTTTTTAGAAAAAGTAAATGTCACATGAATGAGCAGCGTAGCAAAGCAATTTCTTTATGCGACTGCACTAACTTAAGAGCTGTACCTTCTACATCTCATGAAATTGAATAAAAGAGGCCCTATGATCATAAAGCACGAAGGGTAAATTTTTAGGAAAGAATACAAACCTCAAGTATTAGTTTTAGCCCGTCTAAATTACGGCCAGTCCTTACATCAACGGTTGTAGGATAAGTTGAATCATCTGCACCATGAGATACAGTAAGAAGAAGCTGACAGACATGGCAAGGCTCAGTTAGGTAAATGAAGAGTTCAACAACGTCTGAACCCTGCGGAAAAACCTGTAGGACAAAGAACACAATAATTTCATGAAAAGCCAGCAAGCAAGACCAAACATAACATCAAGTTTCTCAAGGAGCAAGGTTAATAGGAAATTTGACTATATATCACGTTTCCATTAGAACATATGATTCAGACAATAAAAGAATTTCCAGTACCCAAATCTCTCCTTTCTTCTTAAAACTCAGAAGACCAGCTCCACCATTAGAACTTGGAAAGATGTTGGTAACAGGTTTAAGTAAAAAACTGGATGCTCGTGAGAGTACCTACACCAATCCATATAGCCAATCAATGCAACAGACAGAAAAGTGGAGCATAAGTAACACACGATAAACCATATGTGCATGATAAGGCAATAACCAAAGGAAATAATGCAATACTTCAGCCAGGATATGAAAAATCAAACAGGAAAAAAAAAAGTCACATGGTAGACCAGGAATAGCTACAGCACAAACCCTCTTTAAAGATATAGTCCCAAGGAGAGGCTCATAAGCGTATAAAAGGACGCTTCTTGTAAAGCCTAAATAATGGAACTTCTTTTAAAAGCTAATAACATTGGGATACCCAGTGCCATCATCAACACTAAGCATGAGGTGAAATCATCTCTCGTTCTTATAATTTATAAATAGGAAAATATGTATTAACTAGTGCATCGAGTAATAAAAAAAATCATAAAAGGCACAATAAAACCATGCGTCTTCCACACCCCACACCCCCCAAATAAGAAAAACAGATAAATAATTAACAAATAGGAGTCATAATTTTCCAATTATTAGGTATTGAAGACCAAATGGTCCGGAAAATTCTCAAAAGCATACATTAAGAGGCTGAATAGGTATTGATGGAAGATGTTTGAAAAGCCTCATTCCGAGAAACATCTCCAGCTGCTTTTGTCGAGAGCTGTCAACAACGGCATTTTTATATCTTCTCTGCAAAGTAATTTTCATATTTTGTGCTGCAGAAAATTGTTTAAACTTTCCTGGTTCTTCATTGAATATGTTAAGGATTTGGCTATGCATAGCTTTGGAACCAGTATAAAGGGTGGCATGAATATCCCCGGCAGACAAAAACAAATCTGCTAGCTGAGAAACTGGAAATAAAATTGTTGATCTCTTGAATTCTTCAAATGGCATATCAAATCTTTTCCAAGGTTTATCAGGACAAGGATGAGTCCATGTTGTGGTCCTAGTATTATGATCAATATAATATGTTTTCCCTGTCACAGCATCACTCCTTTTTTCCCAGCCTGGTGGCAGTGGAGCTGTATATCCGCTCTGTGTATCCATTGAACGATAACCCATTCCCCAGTCATTATCTAAAGATATCCTTAGCCGCCTGCATTGCTCCATGAAGACTTGGAGAGCACCAAAATAACTAGCAGCATTGGTCCTATCCAAAGAATCGGCACAGTTAAATCGTATGACCCCATTTTGATGGGATCTTATGCAGAAATCACCTTCAAAATCATCATTATGTATGATTTCACCTCTATAATCCTTGGTCTGTAAGCGGGAAGGTAAATAATCCCCTTCAGAAACACCTATTGATATAGTAGGGCCTTTTAGAAGCCTCCACAGCCCTTCAATCGTTAGCTGTTCGCCCTTTAACTTTGTGCTTGCATGCCAGTCATAATTTATTAAATGGATTCTAGTATATGGAAGTTTACCCGTTGATTTAACAAAATTCACAGATTCCTCAAAGTGCTGAACTAAAATAGATTCTGATTTTCCTTCTCCATTCCTAAGCAAATTTATGCAAACTATAGGAACTAAAGCTTTTTTGTTCCGATTTCCTCCACCAACGACATCGATTTTCCCAGCATCATATCTCTTACTCAACCTCTGATAGTACTGAGCGCTTCCTTTATAAGGATCGCAATCAGAAACATATATTTCTGCTTCTGCAGCAGTGATCTTCAGCTCTGCACCCCACCAAATTGGAATAGTGCCCCTTCGCCAAATGTATGTGTTAAAAGGAGTGCTCTGGCCAGGCTTTTTAGGTATCCATACCAGTTGCTCACATTCAACCTCGTTCCCTGTCAGATTTGGAGTATTTGTAACTAGGAGCTTGAATATATTACTTGTTCATATGAGGGAATGAATCAACAAACAGCAGGAATAAACAGGGGCAGTGAACTACGGCAATGGGTAATGAATTATTTTCTAGTACCGAATAAACGCTACACTACCTGTGCTGAAGCACGAATTCAATCCCCTGGCCAAATATCGAGTGCCGGGATGCAGCCTGCTTCGACGAGCAATAAGTGCGACAATGCCTTCCATCTGACCGGAACTCCCAAAACTTCGACACTCTGCAAACCCCTACACAATATTACCCACTAAGACAGCAGTACAAAAACTGCCACAATTCACGACATACCATGAAACCTGTTAAAGATTTTGGAGATGATGATGAATTAAGCGAGAAGAAAAACCTGGAGAAGCGTAACGCAATGATGTGGCAATCCAATGTTCTTGAATGCCATGGAGAACCAACTGTTCCAAACGAACTCTTCGTCAGGCTTGTCCAGCGGCATCCGGCTAGGGAACGGTCTCGTGATGTCCCTTGATTCACAAAAGTAGTGTTTCCCATCAATATCAAGCTCGACCAATTCTTGTACGTTCTTGAGCTCCCCCTTCCCCTGAACCTGCGGATTCTGCAGCGAGACCTTGATGCACTGACTCTCCAGAACCGAGAAAATGGTTCCTCCACCGGGCAAATTCGGAACACTGGCTGAAAGTTTGGTGGCGACAAAAAGTAAACCAGAACCGCCCAAGGCAACGTATCCTAAAATGGCTCTAGCTTGGACGGAGGACTTGCAAAGCCATCGCGATCCGTTGGTAATGAAATCAATTGCCTGGGACTCGGACTTGAAGAGGTCAAGGCCGGACTTCCCATGGTAGCGAAGAGCGCCGGTGGTGGGATCGATGTATATCAGCTGGGTGTTGTTCCTCGAAGACAAGCTCGCAACTATATATACTTCGCCGGATTCAAGTGTCAGAACGACTATGGATGTGTCTCGAGAACTCCGGCCACCGGCTGCGGGTGAAAAGGCCATCGACGGCGATAAATCTTGCCGGACCGATACAAAGAGTTTTGATGAGTCTCAACTGAATTGGTCGGATCGGGCACATATGACTAAGAGACCAGCCAGAAAGAGAGACCTCAGAGAGATGAATTTTCCTCTTTTTATTTTTTTATTTTTATTATTTCTTTCTTTTTTTTATTTTTACAATATTACCTTAAAATATTTTCTATTTCAATTTCTAGATATTCCTGTTCTTAAGAAAAAAAAATAATTTTTAATAACTTTTTAGGTGATAACTAAATTAAATTAAATAATTAAAATGATATAATTATTAATTTAAAATTTTAATTGTCCCATTTATTTGAGAGAAACAAGATCGACGGCGAAGAAAGGCAAGGCATTCTCTCTTCCACTTCCACCGGCGATCAGAGACATGGAGACGGCGGAGCTGGTTTTTGTCCCGTCGTCGGGAGTGGGACATCTCGTCTCCACGATCAAGTTAGTCACTCAGTTTCTCGATCGTCACCGTCGATTCAACGCCACCATTCTCGTCATGAAATACCCATTTACGCCGACGCCCACCGATGGAATCTCCGATCCCCCGCCACCTACCGCCGCCGTTTCTCCCGCCACGCCCCGAATTCGAGTCGTCCATCTCCCCCTTCCTCCTGATCCTCCTTCGCGCCAGATCTTATCCCTGTCCTTCGAGAAATACTACTCTCTCTATATGGAGAGCTACAAAACCCTAGTGAAAAATGCCATTATCGACATTGCCGTCCCGGTCGTGGGCTTGGTTCTCGATATATTTTGTTCTTCCATGATCGATGTGGGTAACGAACTAGGCGTCGATTCGTACATCTTCTTCACTTCTGGCGCTGGATTTCTCGGGTCAATGTTTCACATCGAAACCCGCGATCGACAAATCGGCGTCGAATTTGACAAATCGGAGGCTGATTCGATCATTCCGTATTTCGCCCACCCTGTTCCGATGGGGATTTTGCCTCAGTTTGCGTTTAACGGTGGCGGAGGATTCAGTTCAATGGCGCTACACGCTCGAAAGTTCAAGGAATCTAAAGGAATCATCGTCAACACCTTTGCGGAACTCGAACCCTATACTTTGAGTTCACTCTCTGAAGACGGAATCCCTCCGATCTACACGGTGGGGCCGGTGCTGGACCTGGAAAGCGAAAATCGGCCAACTCCAGATGAAAATCAAAGCAAGGAAATCAGGGTATGGCTCGATAATCAACCGCCGTCGTCGGTGGTGTTCTTGTGCTTCGGTAGTCGGGGATGTTTCACCCCAGCCCAAGTCATGGAAGTAGCAAAAGGGCTCGAGAGTAGCGGAGTGAGGTTCCTCTGGTCTCTGCGCCGGCCACCGCCGCCGCACAAGAAGTTCGAATTACCGTCCGATTACACCGATCTTAACGATGTCTTGCCGGAGGTGTTCCATGAGAGGGTTAAAGGGAAAGGAAGGGTATGTGGGTGGGTTCGACAAGTGGATGTTTTAGCCCACAGAGCCATTGGTGGGTTCGTTTCGCACTGCGGATGGAACTCTGTTTTGGAAAGCATTTGGCACGCCGTGCCGCTCGTGGCTTGGCCGCAGTACGCCGAGCAACAGATAAACGCCTTCGTGCTTGTTAGAGAATTAAAATTAGCGGTGGAGATGAAGATCGATTACCATAGGGACTGTGGATATCTGGTGACTGCCGATCAGATCGAGAAAGCTATTCGATGTTTAATGGCGGACGATGATGCAGGGAAGGAGGTGAGGAAGAGAATGAAAGAAATTAGCCGGAAAAGTAGAAACGCCGTCATTCATGGTGGTTCCTCTTACATTTCATTTCAGAATTTGATTGATACCATGTTGGCTTAATCTGATCCCATGAATCTCTTTGTTTTTGGGTCTGTTTTTACATGAGAATCTATGAAATAAAGTTAATTACACATGTTCTGTTCTTCAAAAAACAGAGGAAATGAAATAAGAACACTGTAAAATGATGATTCTATGAATCATTGCTTTAGAAATAGAGTTTCATTTGAGTTGCAGGATCCTTCTTCTTCTTCTTGAAATGCTTGGTGGCTGCTTTCAGCAGCTTGCTCCATGCCTGAACATTCATGGAATTGGAAGTTAAATTGCAGTGAAGAACATCAAGAACACCAAGAACAATATACCCAGATCTTACTGAAACAGAATCAATACTCAAAACTAAGCACCTTTTTGTTATGTGGGTAGCAAGCAGCAGCTTGCAGAGGCTTGGGGGAGAAATCAGCCGCCAATTTCTTGTTCTTCATCTTCTTCATCTTCCTGTTGCTTTTCGAAATCCCGAAACGGATGCTGACGCCATTGGAGAGAAGCTTCTTCTTGAGGTTGGAGGTGGCTTTCTTCAAGCTGTTCTTCTCCGCCGTCGTCTTCTCCGACGCAGCCATTTCTGAATCGGAAGGAAGCTTGATGGGGGTAATCAAATCCAAATCCATGGACTGGTAAGGCCGGGGGACCAAAGGGGACCAAATGGTGCTTTGAGAGTAATCAAAATCAAAGGCGGAGTTGTCTGGGAATTTGCAGAGAAGCTCTTTGGACATCAATGGCTCCAAATACTCCACCACTTTGATCAGTCTCTCCTTCTCCTCGTCGTCTTCCCATGACCGCATATTCATTTGGGATCTTCTTATTCTTCTTCTTCGGAGCTCTGGTTCAGCTGAAAAGCTCGAATCTGTCTTTAATGGTGTGGAGAAATGCAGAGGGAAGGGAGAGAGGAGGAAGAAGACAGTGATAAGTTACCGTTGGAATAGCAGAGTGGTTGAATTGGGCATTATGTTGATAATGTGGTGGTTCCCAGACGTTGGGTTGGTCTGGTATTGGGCCGTTGGGCCCAAATATAACGTGAATTGCCGAATTTACCCCTACTTTCACTTTTTCTTTTAAATTATTAAATAATTTGCCTTACCTCGATTTGATTCCCATTGTCGGAATTAAAGAAATGGTGAAAATATATTTAAATAATTGCTACCATTTTTTTTTTGGGGTTTAATTTTTAATTTCTAAAATTTTCATTTAAGATAATTATAAAATAAATAGTTGAATTATAAATTATGGTCGGAGAATGTTCCCAACTACTGACGTCAAGTACATGCTTTAACCCAGCAAACAAGTCAGTCATAAGAAATTTAGACGTCACGGACAACGTAAGTAATATATGTTCGGACCTCAAGTCAAATAAATATTTTAAAAAATGTGAACGAGAATGCATTTGAAAACGATTTAAAAGAATTGAAGAAAACAACGTTATATGACTAAAAATAAAGAAAGAAACCCCACAATTTACTTTAGCATATAACTCAGGTATGAAGAATTTACGACTAATCGCATCTCCTATACTACAGTTTGGGGCATTCTAGGCCTTGTGGGCGTAGACATGATTTTGGTGAAATGGTAAAAGTCTATCTAATATGAAGACATGCAAATAGGGTTTGGAACGGGCATGCTGTCATACACAACACGCTTTGGACAAGTATGACCGTGACACCTACCTCTTAGCCCTATCTAATTTAAAATTATATTAATTATTTAATTTCAATTAAATTAAAATTTAAAATTTGAAGCTTCAACTAAGTAATTGTCGTTAAGCGAGTTTAAAAGAGGCAATAACATCATCGTAACGTATTGATTGGAGGAAGATCTCCAATAATGCGAACTTTGAAAAAGCGGAATCACAGATGCAGATAGGGAGCACAGTCGATCCATCTTTGAGTAGAAAGAAAGCAACATAAAAAGGTAACCAAATCTCCCATTTTCTTCATCTTCCTCATCTCTCAAGCAAGAATCTATACCCATTATGTTTACAGACCAGCGAAGGTTTACATTTTCATCTCCTCTGCATTGCACCACACTCACTATATCACTGTACTGTTGAATTTGAATGACGAACAAATCGTATTTATTCTTTCATGGCTGCCTCTGCTTTCCTGCCAATCCTATTCGCTTTTCTATCCGGGTTGCTCACCAAGTGTATGTATAAATGCCGCTTCGAGCTGAAAACATTTGAACAGCTCATTGAGCTATGGAGCGATTGTGGGTTGTCATTTTTTACATCTCTATTGCTTTTCTACACACTACCCTGGCTATTCCAAGTGGTAATTGATTATGTTTTACATTTTCATCTCCTCTGCATTGCAACACACTCACTACTATATCACTGTGCTGTTGAATTTGATTGATGAACGAATCGTATTTATTCTTTCATGGCTACCTCTGCTTTCTTCCCAATTCTATTCGCTTTTCTACCTGGTTTGCCCACCAAGTGTTTGTATAAATGCCGCTTCGAGCTCAAAACATTTGAACAGCTCATTGAGCTATGGAGCGATTGTGGGTTGTCTTTTTTTTTACTTCTCTATTGCTTTTTTATCCACTTCCCTGGCTATTCCAAGTGGTAATTGATTATGTTTTTACATTTTCAAGCTCTGTTTTTTTTTACTGTGGTGTCTGTTTTTATAAGATTTCGTGAGACTTCTTTCTTGCAGATGCTGGTAGAAGCTCAACCAGTGAGTTCTTGAAGAAGGTGAAACTACAAATTCAAGAGGGGATTATTTCAAAACCCCAACTGAAATTCTTGACTGTTAACTCTCCATTTTCATTGCCTCCTTTTGATTCACTTGCACCAATCCCATTGCCTGTAAAGTCTCCTCCTTTCTGTGAAGATGAACCGCCCCAAACTCCTCAGTCACCACCACCACCAGCACCGCCGCCGTCACCACCTGGGATGATGTATTCCCACGCCCCACCACCGCCACCACCTGGGATGATGTATTCCCGCGCCCCACCACCGCCAGGTTTTCAGCCCAATGTACCTACCAGAAGCCGAAACCCTCCACCAAGCCCACCTAGCATCATCCCAATGACCCCTTCCGTCCCCTTAGCCCCATATCCTCCTAAGAACATTTCCAGCCCCACCCCACCAACTGGTCTTCCAAGCCCACCTCGCCACTATGGTCCTACCCCTCCTAAACATGCTTCTGGGCCACCCAGTCATGGGGGGCTTAGCCCACCAATGGGGTTCTCTCCGCCACCTGGTTCACCTCGTGCAGAACATGGGGGGAAGCCACGGTCGTCTGGTGCAGCATGGTGTGTGGCTAAGCCGTCTGTGGCTGATGCAATAATTCAAGAAGCCATGGATTATGCTTGTGGGTCAGGAGCCGACTGCATGGCCATTCAGCCTAATGGACATTGCTATGAACCTGACACTATTGTGGCACACGCCTCGTATGCTTTCAATAGCTACTGGCAGAAAACCAAGGTCAGTGGCGGTACCTGCGATTTTGGAGGAACTGCCATGCTTGTAACAGTGGATCCAAGTGAGTTCATCACTCGCCATCTTTTTCCAACATGTTCCTTTCAAATTCAACACAACCACTAGTTTAAACTAAACATTTAAAATTTTAAAAAAAATCCTCAATTACAATTTGAAAAAAAATCATAATATGAATATTTTGAGAAACAAACATAAATTTCAAAGAATAGAATAAAAACGGGATCTTAATTATAAAAAATCTACCAGCTCCCTTCGATCCAATAACTTAGATGGATCGATTGCACCCATAAAAAGGAATCATGCTACTAAATCAAAGACTTTTTTTTGTTGGTGATTTTTGTTAAAGTTTTTTTTTGGCTTGGTTGTGGCAGGTTCTGAAGGGTGTAAGTTCGTCCTCGGTTGAGATTAGAGATGGAGACACTCCTTGGTTCATCATTTTTGATATATTGAATCTATGAAAAAATTTAGCTCTCTCTACATACGGTTTTCATTCTGAGCATAAGTTTTTATGGTTTTGCTTTGGACTTCTACAGAAGGTCTTATATCAATAATATTCTTTGATTATAAATTCACGATCATTCCTTAAATTAGAGGTGGACTATCATCCAACAATTTCTTCAATCATTTTACTTATATAGTTATTACGTTTGACCAAAAAAAAAAAAATTAAGTATATTTGTTTTTTCTTGATTTATCGTAGGTGGTTATTATTTTTATTAAAAAAATTGTTCAACTTATAATCAAGACTCAAAATTAATAGTATAATTTAAAATTTTAAATAAAAATATAATGATTAAAATAATTGTCAACATGACCTATTACGCTCAGATTATCGAAAATATTTGTTCCATGTTGGCTAATTAAAAGAAATATCAACTTATTTTAATAATTATATATATTTTTAGAATGGAAAAGGAAAATGCAAAACATGAAAATTGGGGCCATTTATTATATGGAAAAGAATTGTAATATTAATTGGGCCGGATCGGTATTTCAAGAGAAGCCCAAACTCTCATGGGTCGTACCAAGCCCACTAGCAAAGCGAAGTTTTCTTGAGAAAGAAGCCGGTGCCTTAATAGCTGAACTTGCACCTTTACAAATCTGTTCTGTTCAGGACGACATCAGCGATTAGCGCGAGCGAGCGGGCTAGCTGACAAGATTTTTCTTCAATTTGTTGCTGTTTGTGAAATTCGCTTCCAGGTGATGTTCTACTATTTCTCTATTAATTGTTCAATTTGGAATAATGATTCCTCGAGTACTGGGTAGCATCGATATCAAATTTCGAAACAGAGGAGCGGATTTAGAAGGAAATACTGGGGATTTTTTTTTTTTTTTTTTTTTTTTTTTTTTTTTTTTTT